AAAGGCGGGGGCAGGGCATGTGGGTTCTCTACTTGGCTCTCCCACAATTCTCCATACTCAGTTCCTGCTTTGCTCCGCATCAGTCCAGAAGGTCAGACAAGGACTAGAGGTCTCTTCACCCTGAAGAGGCTCCAGCGTTCTGGTTGGTAAGTAAGAGGCCAACCAGCTTCCTTTCTAGTGAAGTCCAGAGCAGAGGAAGGCAAACCATCAGCTCTGCTGGTCAGGTTTGTTTTCGCCTTTAAGCACAGCAGCTGCAGTGGGCTCTTGGCTAGGAGCTCTTCCTACTCACTGTTGGAAGGAGAGGAGACACAAGGAAGCTTCTCTCTTTTGCCTGGTGGCACAGGGGCTTAAGTACAAGACCACGAACCTTCAAGTTGGCAGTTCAGACCCATCAGGGTCTCCAGTGGAGAAAGATGAGCTGATCCACCCCCATAAACATTGATAGTCTTGAAAACCCTACAGAGCCATTCCACTCTCTTCTCATTACAAGTCAGAATGCACTTGGTGGCAGGGGCTCTGGTTTTCGGCGGTTCTGTCGTTTTTTTTAAAGCAGCAGACATGCCGTGGCCTGCCTTAAAGGGCCCAAACTCGTGTTTCTAAATAGCAAAAGTCGGGCGACCCGTGAAAGTGCGGCACGGTCAACATTTGTTGAGCATCCGTTTGTATCGCTAGCACACATTTAGGGAACATGCGTGGTACACTGTGCTAGAGGCCTTCACATCCGCGGCCTTATTTGACGTCCCCAACATGTCAGCAACCTTCAAGTAAGTATCATTTTCTCCGTTCCTGGGATGAGATTATTGAGAATCTGAAAGGTCAGAGCATGTGTTTGCACGCATACGACTGGTGAGAAACTGGTTTCAAACCCAGCTCCCTTACCAACACTCCATACTGGATCCTTTTCATTTCTGTCCAGATAAAATCAGAGCAAGAGAAAAACCGGTTGAAGTAGAATAAGGAAACAATAGCACCATCTAGAGGTCGTGGTGGGGAGCGAAGAAGGAGCTTGTACTTTCCAGGATGGCTGCATACATAAAGGACCTCGGGTTGGTTTTGTGTGTGTCTGTGTGTGCACGCGGGGTGGGGCGTGGGGTGGGGTGGGGGTTCCCAATATGTTTCTGGAGCCCTGCCTTCTTCCTATCCCACTTTCCTATCTGAACCTCAGCCTGTATGAACATCCGAATCCTTCAGAGGGTAGGGTTTGGAGCATAAATTCAAAACTCACGGTCACCAGCATCCCTTTGTCACGGGGCAGGCGGAAGGTTCTAGATCTGCCAGTGCTTCAGTCAGGTCGTCATTTCAGAGCCCATCTGGCACCCTTTGGGTAGAGAATTAGCTAGGGTTCTTTATTATACCTTCTTCCGGGAGTCGTGAGCTGAACCTGCAATGTCCCTCCCCGGTTGTTCAAAATCCCTCCTCTGAGCCGGTGCCTCTGGAGGGCTCTACGCGCCGTAAGATTAAAGGTCCCTTCCCTCATGTCTCAGCTCAGCTAACAGTCCCAGAATCAGATGGAGTAAGGGAAACTATTACAATATAACAGAAACAGCCCGTGTTTCAGTTGAAACGCATCTAAGTGTGAATGAACCCCAGCCATTCTCTTAACTAGCAGTGTGGTTCTAGACAAAATCATCAACCACTGTCAATCTCAGGACCCTCAACTGTAAAATGAGAGTGACGGTACCTCCCTCTCACACACGGTATGGTGAGGATGACAAGAACATCCATGAAACACCTGGTACAGAATGGAATCTTTCCACAAACCTCCCCCCCACCACCACCACCACTACCACCCCTACGCCAGCCCTTGCCTGCCTGACAGGGCTGAACTGCTCTCTTCTTGAAGCCACACTTCTCTAGAGTTCCGGGGCCATGCAGACAGAAGGACGCACTGTGACTCATGTCTGAGGAGAGGACAGGTGTGATCGAGCTACCCAGGGAAATGAGGTCGGCTGAGTGGTCTGTGGCAAGACTGGGAGCTAGGTCTTAGGCATCTTCGCGGCCTTATTACCTAGCACAGAACAGCTGGGACTGCGCTCACTGGCAGAGGCACCGAGGAGTGGTTAAGAGTAGAGGGCCCTGAGTCCTCAAAAGGACAGAAAGTTGTACGTTGGGCTCTGAACAAATGGGAACATGGTGTGGAAGACTATATTGACCTAGTCTAGATTAAGGCAGAATTGCTCAGACTAAAAAGGGCGGCAGGTGGGTGGGTGGGGGGAGATATAGGTTCTGGAACATACCATTTTAATTAGAATAACAACAAACAAATCTTTCCAGGATTTATAGGTTCTTCCCAGTTGACAAACAACTCTTTGGCGATTGTCTCTACGGAGTAATCATTCTGACAAGTTCTCCCACCTGAGAATCAAGACTTCCCTTCTGTGCTCTCATCACTATTAGCAGTTCCTACTCTCGCCATATTCAGGGGGGTGTGCTTGTCGATCTACCTGTAAATCACCAAAGTAAGAGCAGTATGATTCAGTTACGTGCCTTTGGTTCATAGCTGCGAAATGAATAGAATAGGACTGGCCGACCACCTTACTTAGCCACGTCTCACTAATTCTAGGCTTAATGCTAAGCCTGAGCAATATAGATCTTTGTCCCTATGATACTTGCTTTATTTCCTTTTGTGCTTTAAATGCAGTGGTTCCCTGGAGACTTGAGATCTATTGTGGGCTGGCTCCGTGGCCCTCTCAAGACCAAATGTATATACGCGAGTATAGGCCGACCTGAATATCAGCCGAGGCACCTAATTTTACCACCCAAAAAAATGTATTAAAAATGTGCTGGAACAGTCAGCTTATACGCGAGTATCTATGGTAGCTCTATTTGCTCACATTAGCTGTCTTGATTCTAGTCGCCATCTTCCACCTAGTTGCCCAGTCTAGAAACCCTGCTGTAGCCTAATTCCCTTCTCTCCTTCTCCCTTGACATCCAACCCACTACCAAGGCCCATCATTCTGCCGCCGTGAAGCCTCTCTCTCCAAGCAGTGTAATGGAGTAGTTTTAGAGTGAGACAGCCCAGAGGATTCATCTAATCTCCACCACTTGCTATTTGTCTTGGTGAGTCACTGGAAGCAGAGTTCTTTCTCTGACCTATAACAGCGGTTCATAATGATTTGGCAAAATACCGTCCTCAATCCTTCCCATCCTCCCCCTCCTTGCCACCATCTCCTGCCTGGATGGTAATGAGCCCGCCCTGACTGGCCTGCCTGATTCCAGGTGCTTTCCTGGTGTCACCCATTTTTCCCTTGGAAGGAAGCTTCCCGGATCTTTGTAAAAAATAACTACCATGTTCATCATACATCTTTCAAATCCATGGACCATGTCTGGAGCCTAGATAGCATTGTACTCTCGGGTCGTTCACACCCCTCTTCTGATCAATGCCAAATCCTGCTGGCTTTTCCTGCTCAGTGTCCCTCGTATCTACTCCTGAATCAAAGAAAATCTATGTCACCATCTAAGACCTAGCTTAAGTGACCCCAGCCTCCTGAATCTCCTAGTTGATGTTTTTCTTAGGTTCCATCCAGGCAGCTTCCACTCATAATGTCTCTGGTCCTGCGCCGTCCTCAGCATTGTTGTTACACTTGATCCCCTTGTATCACTGTGTCAATCCTCCATCTTTTTGGTAAAATTTAAGCATTTTATTGGCATAATTTACATACCCCACAATTCAGTGTTTTAAAGATATGTAACAGATTTGTGCCACTGTTTCCACAATCAATTTTAGATCGTTTTATTCATTCTTATATTCATTATTATTAGCTCCCCATCCCCGCCCCCACTCCACAAACCTTCCCTGTCATAACCCCATGGAGATATTAAGCTAGTTACTGACTCTATAGCTTTACCTATCCTGGATTTCATATAGAGAAAAGCATATTTTTTTAAAAAGCCAGGCCAAATAACAATAAAATAAACCACAGGAAGCCCCCTATTCAAAAGAAAGCAAATAATAACAATAATAACTAGAACAAGTTATAAATATGTCAAATAGGCAAACAAAGGGTAAGATGATGAGTTTTAACCTAACAAGATCTACATTAGTCTATTCTCCAGTGCACTGTGTACAGAAGACTTCACACCCCTGGTCAGTGGCCTCGGGGAGTTCAGGGAAAGCTTCATCCACATGAGGACTCGAGGAATATGATTTGGGGCTTTCACTGTAATCCATAGCCTTCTGTCAACTGGGCACCCAGTATTTGAACTCTAAAATAATTCCTTCCTCTGGGTTTGGACTTTAGTGTTCACAATCCTTGGATCACACCGGCGGCTATGCCCCTTCCTTGTGGACTTAGCATAGCCTCTGTAAACCAGGCACCCAGTATTTGAACTCTAAAATAATTCCTTCCTCTGGCTTTGGATTTTATTGTTTACAATCCTTGGATCACACCGGCGGCTTGCCCCTTCCTTGTGGATTTAGCTGATACCTCGCTTAGATGGCGGCTTGTTTCAAGAGAAGCTTTGAAGACCCAGAGGCTATTCTTTCTGATCATTGGGCACCTTCTTAGTTCTTCCCTAGGCTTTGCCATAGCCCCATATCTTCAGTGATCACTGAAGTATCAAGCAGAACTACATCACAAGAACTAATTGTTCTTAGATTAGGGCTTAGGATTAGGCATGAGCTCAAAATCCACTCATATTTCTAAGTTTTATATATCACCCTGATCACGATAGAAGCAGCATTTGTTTGATTTTAAATAAAATAGGTAACCTACAGGGGCCATTTGATAATTCTAATAATACTATCATTAATCTAGCATTCAGAATTTAAAATGCCAGGGAGAAAAGGAAAAATTGCACAAATAAGAACTCCTTGGGCCAAAATACATAGGACCCTCACTTGTACAGATTAAAAGGTGAGGTGACTGCGCATGCCTTAGGAAACAATTAGGGCTAGACACAAGACAAAAATCTTGATAACACTCAAGCACTAAGCCAAAACTAAGCCTACAAAGCTTTGTCAGAACAATACAAAAGCAGTCACACATGCACACAGACAAAAAACCCATGAATACATCACTAATTTGCATGTCATCCTTGTCCAGAGACCATGCGACCCTTTTCTGTGCCATCCCAGATTCAGGAAACGTGCTGCCAAAACGAACATTGTGTCGATCCATCTTAGTGAAGGTCTGCCTCTTTTTTCTGATGGCCCTTGTGTTCCCTCAGCTCCACTTTATTCGTCTATTTATCAATTATTTCACTCAGATAATAACCACCTCCCCTACTATTCTTAATACCTTTGAGAGCACAGATTGTATCCTCCTCTCCTGGCCTCTCCTAGCACCTAACATGGGACCACAGGTGTCAGAGTTTTCCATACATATAGAAGAAGAAAACGAATCAAGAAGGCATGAATCTAAAATCTGAAATTTCATCCTGACTCCACACTGAGAATTGCATCCTAGCTACAAATTTGTCTTCCCAAAGCATTGCCATCTCTAAAACAGTCCACTTCTTAAGCCCCTCCCATAGTTCTCCATCTCCGACAGAATTAAATCCCAACTCAGTGGGAGAAGCAGCACCATATGGTAGGGATGTTTGGACTCAGGAGACCAGGTCATTTTCAAGTTAGTCTCAGAACAGGGCAGTGTTCCGCTCTGTTGTGCATAAGGTTGCTATGGGGTGGAACCAACTGCATGGCACCTTCCAATAGCAACAGTCTCTGTCCATAAGAGAGACTGAGCAGATAAATATGTTTCATCCCCCAATCCTTCTTCCCTCAAAGTCAAATTCTTTTTCACATCCCAAGGCAATGAAACTATCTTTCCTATCACAACAACTACTAATGCTACTATTATTAATACTGCTACTATTATGGCCGCTTATCCACTACTGTGCCTATTGCTGAGCTGTTGCTGTTTCTACTGCTGCTTCTAAGCATCTACTGTGACTGCTGCCACTTATGTGCTAATGCCCTGCTATGACTCCTGTCGCTAGCAGTGTGAATCTCCTCCTCCCACCACTGTGGCCATCGCTGCTGCCCCGCCCCTCGTGAGTGCCCACTGTGCTCCAAGCCCTGCACTCCTCTCATCCAACAACTTTATGAAGAAGGAGTCAGCCTCTCCATTTCACTGATAACAGCACAGACGTTTAGAGAGGGTTAGAAATCTGTCCAGAGTTACATAGTCTATAAGTGGAACAGCCACACGGCACCAGACTCCAGGCCTTGCGTTCTTCCCCTCTTCCCCTGCACCTTTTTGTGTATCCTCGGAACACTGGCAACACAGCAAATATTTAATGCTGGTTATAAAAAATTATCTGCCTCGAAGAGCCCACAGGTTCACTTTTGTTCCCGTACTTGACCTCGGTTTGCCGTATTCCCCTGAATCTGGCTGTAGGCATTTTCCTTTGCAACCGACTGTCTCTACGAGCCCTCCATGCCTGAGTCCCTTCCTTGGAAACAACTGCCCTGAAATCATTTTCTTAACAGGCAGAGCTGGTGTGAGCCTTAGAGTTCTAACAAGAAGCATGTTTTGCCAATTCAGGCTGGGGTGGTGCAGATAGGTCTTAGCTTCCAATAACCAGGCCTTTCTACCCCCACCCCCCACTCCTGCAGTATAAAGCTGATGTCTAGTTACCAGCTACCGAAAAAAGGAATTTTCCCATTGAGCATCCCCAAGACTTCCTCTTGTTTTTGTAGCCCCGCCCTACTTCCAACGCTTTTACCCAGAATCCAAACTGTAAAGGCAGAAGGATGTCAAAGAATGGGTTGTGCTCCCAGCTCTGATACTGCCCGGCCAAGGGACATGAAGTGAAGCTGTCCCCTGCCTGTACTGGTCCAGACCCTCGGCAGTTGGATGTCCCGGTCAGTGGTGTGGGGATCGATTTGTTAACCAAGCTATTCTCAAGAGCACTGTAAGGATCCAATGGGAGAACGGATAGAGACGTGCCATGCTCTGCAAAGTAGTTCCCAGCCTGTTCTCCCCATTTGCTGAGACCCCCTCAAGATGCCCACTGCTGCATGCCTTACCTTTGACCTAGTTCCTTGTCCTGGCTTCAAAGAGTAAAATGTCTTCAGCATCTCGTGTGGACCAGGCACCTTTACATTTCTCCACGCTGTCTCAATTCCTGCCTATTATTCCAGACCCTTTCCTCCAGAAATCTTCTCGACACGAGGGCCTGCCCGAGCGCTTCTGCGTCTCACCATCTCATTGGCACTCAGCAGCGACTTGGTCTTTTACTTTCCCCAACACCAGCTCCATCTGCCCAACTCGCCATCGTGCTGGTCTTAAAGCGAGATGAGTATAGAGGGCAAAACCGTTGGCTGATTCTTGGCTAGGATCGTAGGGCCCAGGACAAGGGCAGGCCCTCAGTGTGCTGCTGCTCATACGAGGAAAAGGAGGAGGAGGAGGCCTGTCGTGAGCAGAACCTATTGTTACTGACACGCGCTCCTTCTCTCCTTCCTCTAGAAGTTTGTAAACAAGAACAGCCCCTCAAGCTTCTGACAAATGTTCCACTTGTTTTCAACTTGAGAGAGGGGAAAAAATATATAACTTAAAATCCCAATTGGAAATTGTCAAGCTCTAAGGTTATGAGCATATGTGAGGAAAAAGAAAAGAGAGAGGGAGACTGGGAGGGGTGAGAAAGATAGAGGGACTATGGATTTTTGTGTGTGGGCATGTGTGGCAGTGCATTGTATACTGTAAATCTCTTGGATAATTCCATTTGTGTGTGAAATGCATGAATTTTATTTGCATTATTTAGTTTTAGTCAGATCACTGCAAATTCTAAGCACATTTTTTTACATCAGCTCATAGTCAGAGGTCCTAGGTTAACTTCCTTTTTGAAATTCTGTCTAATCTCTCAACATTTCATCCATATTAATGGATCACTTTCTGTACCCCAATCTCCCTTCCCAGAGACAGTAGGCCAGGGCCACCTCTCCTCCATGCTAATCTTTGTGAAGGCTGGTCCTGGCTGGTCCTGGCTGGTCCTGGCTGGTCCTGGCCAGACCTGGCCCTCGACGGGTGGAAAGCTTGCTAAGAGGCCCCCTTGTATCTGACTCTATTATCAATGTGATCTTACATTTACATCTTTTTTCTTCTTCTTGTATTTCAATCACTGGGCTCTCTCTCTTTCTCTCTCGTTCTTCAGGACAGGCTTCACTAAAGGTTTAAAAAAATAAATGCTGGTGCAGTGCTATAAGAGAGAAGCTGTTCTTAGCATTCCTCGTGCTTCTCTAAACGGTTTCTGGAGGTCTAGCGTTCGAGGCTTACAGGGTGTTCATTTCTGAGGGTTGGCTCTAAATGATGCTGAGTCCTCGCTGGCTTCTCCTAGGAGATTATGAAATAAATACAGACAATCCCCAGATTACAAATGAATTCCATCCCAAATCTGTCTTTAAATTGAATGTGTACATCAGTCAGAAAAGGTAAGTGTGGTTCTCATCAAATGTTATGGAGTCATAGGTTCATCTCATATGGTGTACCTTTCTAGGAGTTCTGGCGCATTATACATTAGACTGCTAACTGCAGGGTCAGCAGTTCAAACCCCTCAGCTGCTCCTTGAAAGAAAGATGAGGCTTTCTTCTCCCGGAAAGATTTACAGCCTCCCTATGAGTCAAAATTGCCTCGATGGCAGTGAGTTTGAGTTTTTGAGTGCACGTTTTTATGCATAGAAAACACTAAAACACTTCCAAATATATTCAAAACATCTTCATATAATAATAACAAAGATAAAGTGTTGATGTGCATTGCAAAGTAGCACCTGTTTGTTATTACAAAACATTGTAGTACTTTGATTTTTTTTGTAGTACTTTGATTTTTTAAATCTATAACTGCTCTTCACTTATGCACCAAGATGTTGTATAAAAAAAATTGTAAACTAAGGAGGATAAGCACATCAGGTCCCAAACTGAAGGATGACTATAATCATGGCCCAGCCAACTTGACACATAATTTTAACCATCACAAGTAACTTTACTGTCACTTCACACCTCAGTGTAATTTACTGCCAGTTATAATGTCACTAATGAGCAAAAGAGTCAGTAGACTTATTTTTTATATTGTTCTATAAATGCTATTTAAATGTGAAATGTAAGATAATGAAATAACCAAGTGAGGCAAAGGTGAGGTTTCAGAGGCAGTTTGGTTCATAAGTATGGACTGGCAATAAGTCGGATATGTGTATCCCAAGAACTGCCTGAATGTATTGCCCTGACCTATTGAACAGCCTCCTGGGAGTTTGGGATGTGACTTTGTTGCAATGCTAATACATGGGGTTTGCAAACATTAAGCTTTGTTGGTCATACATATCTTAATTCATTCCCTAGTAAGCTGGACATTCATCTCTTTTTTTCTTTCATTAAGTTATTCCCGAGGGAGTCTATAGGGTTTACTAGAAAGTGTTTGACCTCCAAAGTCCATATCTAAGCTTCTGTTGGCTGCTACCTTTTACCCCTCTTTGGATCTCAATGCCCTTGCCTGTAGAAAGGAATGAAAAATGATGGTTCTTCCTTGTTCACTGTATCACTTCAACGAACTTCAGGGAACAGGGATTTAGTGGAAAGAAGGAACTAAATTCACTCAGTTCTCCCTAGACTAGAGGAACCCATTTCACATGTCTTCATTCGGCAGGCACCCAATAAGAGGTGGACCAGGGCAAGTGAGGCCGTCAGGAACAAGGACGGGTCTCCACACCCAGGGGGTAGAGCCAGAATGGGACACAAAAGTGATCTGCCACCGAATCGTAGCTTATTTCAAGCAGTCACCTCATTTTAGAAGGCACTCCCGTTCTCCAACCCACAGCATCCCATCGATAGAATGAATCTGTTCAAGTAAGTTCTTAAGGGCTCCTCCAGTTCAGCTTTGGGGGAGGCGGAAGGGTTCTAAGAACTTCGCTCTTCATCAGTTCCTTGGTCCAACTCAATCGTTTCTCCGGATACATGAGCTCAGGTAAGCTCTGGCAAGCCTCTCGGGTTGGTAGACCCGGAATACTGCAGGCAGCTCAGCAACAATGGTGGTGATGCCTGCCTCCCAAAGATTCTCTCTGTCCGCAGGCTGGATGCCGAATCACAGACGTCTGCAGAGACGAGACCGGCGGGCGACACGGCAACCCTTGCCTACAGAAGGTGCAGTGCGGCAGACCTAATCAACGTCGCCGT